ATGAACAAGTTGGTTTACAGTCATGAGAGAGCTTGAACATAAAATGTACCCTAGTTTTAAAATGCAACCATTAGATGAAGGCGCATCTGCCATCAACACAAAGCCACATGTGCTCTTGTTCCTTTACCAGCCACTGGAGCCACTCTACACAGATTGTAGGATTAGGTACGACGTGTTTTAACTAGCTCGCACAGATTTACAGGCCTGTGCTCTCAGAGTAGTGAAATCTTGTATTGGGATGGTCCAAGAATACTGATTCTGAATGTAGCTTTTTTCCCCTCTCTATGTTCCTAATTAGTGGAGGCTATTCAAGTAAATGCACTGTTTTGACTGATGTCTAGATGCAAGTTTTTTAATAAAAGGTTTTTGTCCCACTGTAAATCAAGCTACTCGGGAGTGAAAAACCTGATTGCTGAAAACAGAGAGGATTGTTTATGCCACTTTGTCTTTCATATTGTTGAGGTATTCCCCTCCTCGTGCACATGAACCGGAAGCTGTAAAAGGCCGAGACAAATTCCACTTTCTCTGAGTACTGAGTTGCCAGAATCAAATTCTTTGTGAATAATGTTATAAAGTCAGTGCTTTGACATCTCTTCTGGTACCAACATGGTTTAAGTTAGAGAGTGACTGAGAAAAGGAAAGAGAGAAACATCCTTTAGGTGAGAAAGATATCAGGAATGACGGGTGTGCTTAATTTAATTTGAAAAAGTGCTGCCCTTTGAGTATGACATTCTTATTTTTGTTAATGTGCAAACCCATCAATACTGTTGAGTCTGATTAAGCTATTCTCATCGCGTTCATGCAGACAAGTGTTTCACACACCCTCAAGGCATTTGCTCAATGCTGACTTTAGCACTATACCACATCGTTGCTGTGAATCACAACGACTTCTACTGTGTCACAATAGATCCATCGACAAGACGACACATTTTCTAAATATGATCTCAGGCGCTCAACTCATTGACTCTTTTTAGAATGTACACAACACATTTAGCATTATCAGCTCTAACGTTAATGAAGCTTCAGTATTTTACTAGATGTAATGATTTTGGGGGACAAAAGTAAAAATATTACTTTTTTCCCCCAAAATTATAAAACTCTAAATCAAATATTTGCATCATCAGTTAATCTTTTAGTCTGTAAAATTGCTTCATTTGGTTGCAAAACACAAAGATATTACATTTTGCAAAACTGAAAATCCTTTAAAAAATCTAGAACTAAAAATTCTAAGGCATTCCAAATTCCAAATTAATTTTATAGATTGGAGTTCTTCTTGATCGAGTGCATTGTTTTCCGGAGGCTTTCTCCGGTGTAATCCCTGAGGGGATTAATCATTATGTTACATGAGTCATCCATATGCACTGTATCCATGGGACTATTTCCTTAAGTCCATTAAAAAACATTTAAACTAAACTTTTCTTTTTGACGACTCCAACTAACGGGTAGTCCTGGATAGTCTATAAAACCTTCAAGTATTATTGGCACGCCTTCCAGCGGAATAAAAAGGGTTGTTGTTTTTGTTGTAGTTTTTTTCTCCTGTGAGTGTGTGCATAAATGTGGTAATGTGCTCTGTGTGTTAAGATTAAGTTGAGATGAAAAATAAGCCAAGACAACTATTGAGTTCTCTCCCTCCTGTGGTCTCCTCCTGTTCTGCTTTTTCCTCGCCCCCCACCTTTGCATAGACTGTTATCCAATTAGGGTGATTCTCATTGCTTTAATCAATGGCGACACGAACGGGCACACATTGACATGCATACGGACCACGCACACACTCACACACACACACACACACACACACACACACACACACACACACCTACACTGCTTGTTCCCTCAGTAATGTCTAGACCAGTTACTATGGAGATAGTGATATAGGGGTGTAGGGAGTGAAATGTGAATATAAGTGACATGAGCAGATCCACAATTAAATACCACACAGGAGGAAGAAAGAGAGGGACTGTGATTTAATCTAAGACCGTCACACACTCCTAAAACAGTTTTGCACACACACACAGCCCCCACAGCAGTTAACTCATTTTTATAATGCATTAAAATAAGATATCTTAGTATGTAGTTGGACTTGTATTGTTAGAGATAGAGCTATGGTTTAATTAATTTATGTGATTATTGTGGCCGAGATTAATGCATAAAAAATATGCTTTCTAAAGTGATTATTCGTTAATTTATAAGGTTTAGTCTAGAAAAACTTTTCTTAATGATTTTCAAAATTTAAGATTAGTTTATTGATTGATTATCAATTACTGCCTCTGTGCCACATGATCGTTTGTGTCACATCCAAGCGAGAGCTAGACAATTAATTTCACTTTAGTATAAGGATCTTGCAAATATTGAGGGTAAATGTGTTAAAGTGGAATTGATTGTGCTTTGTTTCTGCTTATTAGGGCACCAAGCAAGCCATTCATCAGCTCACTAACTACACCAGCGGTCCCCAACGGCCACTTGGTACTGGGCGGAGAAAGAAAAACATTTTTTTTTTCATTTTACTTTTTTTTCTGAAAAAGATATATTTTTTAATTGAACGGATGTTCCCCCCATTACATGTGCTTGTTCCTCTTGACACATTTCCCAAATGAAACCGGTCCAAGGGGCAAAAAAAGAGTCTGGGAGAGCTGAGCTACATAACCAGACGTGCAATCAAAAAGACATGCAAGCAGAATGGTAGAGAAATAAGTGAGGCAGACTGTTCCCTATGAGGCCCAGAGGAAGACAGGGAAGTATGCTTTTCACCTCCCAAAAATTTGGACAGAGCAGTCAACAGACTGAGGGGCTTGGGGGCCTGCAGAAGCTTTTAATCAGTCAGTGATGAGGCGAGCAAAAATGAGAACAAAGGCCAATTTGTCAATGAAAACTAGCTGGTTGATGTCCTGATTAAAGAAAAAAGGAAAACTTGGCAACTTGTTTGTCCATAATGAATCCTGCACAGATACTGTATGCACTGGAGAAAGTAACTGAGATTCTCCTCATGAGCCAGCCAACGGTACCAGACAGTGGCTTGCATGGCAACTCTCGGTCTAACTGTGTCTATATTAACAAATGTGAATTAGGAGACTGTCAAAAAAGGATTTACAAAATCAGCAAATAAGATGAAGAGGTCAAAACCAAGGGGCAATGAAAAACCTTTCTGCATTTCACTTAACAGTGATATCCTACAAAAGGCAATTCAAACGCAAGCTGCTCATTTACCTCAAAGTAAAGAAACAGATACAGACATGCATCCTTCAGGGTCCAGGTAATTGAACGTCTGTATGGAACCTTAAAGAGATATAGCCTGACTACAGAAAAACATTGCAGGGCTCTTAAACCTTAGTGGTACACAAACAGCACTCTAAAATTGGTCTCTTTTGAGTGTTACAGGAAAGCATGCCGAGAACAAATTATCAAAAGTTATTCTCTCTAATGCCAAAGCTTATCTAACGTATATATTTGTGTGTGCGTTTATTTCAGTGTATACGTCGATGTTAGGAATCGGGCCTTTGTATTTGATTATCAGTCAATTCATCTTTGAAAGAGTTGTCTATCTTGCATATTTTCATTTTCAAAGTCATTGGTTTTGGTTTATCTGAAATCAATTAAATAATTCTGCTAAGTGAGATCAATATATTATTAGCTAGTTTGACCTGATTTTTGCATCAAGGGCAATGTGGTTTTGAAAGATAGCTGTTTTCAAATAACAAACATCATGCGAAATGCAATTGTGTTTGACTGGTTGATGGAATATGGTGGCATATCATGTTTAACCCTACTCGTGGTAAGACATGATAAATATTATATAAATTAAAATTAACTGTTAAAACACATCATTGTGTTTTCTTTTGTGCCAGCATTTTAGCTACTCAATAAGAAACTCACTCCATTGCAATATGTTTATCTGATCATTGACTGGTCGATAGGGGCAGCAGTTGTAACTCTAAAGGCCTTATTTTGGATCAGATCATATTTTGGATAATTTACACTATATTGTCAATTAAAATAGTATTATTTATCCTCATTAACATTGTCACGGATGCACACTGCTGCACCAAAGACAAGTGGTAACTAAGACGGGGAAACAATCCAATCCAATCCAATCCAGCCAAACAATGCGTCAATGTTTACACACACCAGACCACTGTAATGCCAGTTTCACACACACACACACACACACTCTTTCTTTCTAGTTAAGAACTATAATTATTAATGGTAAGAGAACATCTGATTTTAACTGTTTCATAGTTGTCTATATAGCATATAAAACTAACGATGACTGACGATCTTATATGGAAAGTTGATAGTTTGACATAATACATAATATTATTCATACCTCCTTTTCTTTATGAAAAGTTCAATGAGTCAGAAAGTTTCTGAAAGCATTAGTTCCATTACAAAATATATTTTTCTGTGAATCTGTAAATGTAAATTTCATCTGCAGCATTTACACCAAATACCACAAATTACTGTTACATCTGATATTAAAGTTGGTTTTGAATATAAATCAGCAGCTAATCTTTGACAGGCACACGTTCAAAATCTATATTTTCGTGCATGGAAATCATGAGGCAAGTCTATCCACTATTTGATCATACATCAGAATAACACAGTCAATTCTTTGTCCCAACTTCCAACTTCATCAAATAAAATGTCCGTCAACATCAACACAAAGGACAACCAGAAATCAAAGATGAAATAAATAAAATCTTGCCCCATCATCAGCACTCAGTGTGATGTAGGTTGAATCAGAGGGCATGCAAGCCATGCATGAAAACCTAGTGAGCATTAAAGACAGAGGCTTTACTTTGTGCCAAATCTTTGTTGCTGTGTTTTTACATGAATGAACTTCCTGTGCCTCACTGGCTCCAATTTATTGTAGAGGTCAACGAAAATAATAGAGACAGGACTGGAAGAGAGCCTCATGCATTTTGACTTTGAAGCTGCCGCATCTGCTAGGCCCAGTTACTCCCGGGCAGAAATGTTAAACACCAGGGCAATGATCACCATCCTACCTTCCTGCACGGCCTGGAAGGGGTTGTTCCCATCGACGAACTCCACTGAGAACGTGATCTTCTCAGTCTCCAAGATCTCGTTGTTCAGATTGAGATCTGCTATGGCGAGACGAAACACCTCATCATCTTTCCGCGCTGACTCATCAAAGATGGCGCCTATTCACGAGGAAAGAAGCAGATTGCAAAAGAGGAAGATCAGTATTTATGGGACTTCTGGAAAGGGAAACAGGATGGTGACATCAATATGGGCATAAAGAACATACAACCTTGATCCGATCACTGATCATCAATTATGTGGAAGGAGGTCGTAGCAAAATAAGACTTTCATTGTACAGAGCAACTTGTTAAACTGTACACACAACAGTGAATACCTTGGATCTTGCCTTACAGAGCTCATCGACAGAGAAAAATAGTTGAATAAAATCATTTATCACCAAGACATTGCTAAACAGCCGACAATGTGTAAAGAAAATGAGTTAATTAGGGCCAGCTCCATGATACCAAAGTTGACAGTATGAATATTGATTGAACATTAAAGAATATTGATCCAGTGTTATATAGGATACTATGCAGCTAAAACCCAGCATGAAAAAGAAGTTATGAGGAAGAAATGCATCACCACAGATCGTGCTGAAGTCTGATGCTGCCTGAGGGGCCCACTTGGTCAGCCAAAACAGTGAGATGTGAGATAAATTATATAAAAAAACACTGATGAGTCTCAGTATCCTTAATAGCAGAAAGTTACCCTCAAATTTACCCTCAGTACTGAATTAGTCATCGAAATGAATGTCGACCTGCAGTGTGACTGAAGAATGAGGCGGCATGGACCAACGACTGGCTGATTTCGGTCATTGCTTTGGTCTGCTGCACACAATTAACCATGCAATATCTATTTCTCTTTTCGTCTCTTTTAGCCTCTCATCTCAACGCTGTTTAACCATGAACCCATTGGGCCAGGACTTGCGGGTTCGAGTGCAGTGAAGCTCTGCCAACTAGTTTTCACTTACCAGAAAATAAGCTTTATCCTGCATAGTGCAAGCAAGCGTGTGTGTGTGTGTGAGAGAGACACACACAGGTTGAAAATTCCATTAACGACGAGGAACGCCACATTGGCTTGAGGGCTGTTTTGTACCACTTTTACAAGACAGTTGCTGTTATTTTGGTCTTGTACAGTTCAATGAGTAAAGTATGACGCCAAACAGTCTGAACCCCCGACAATCTCAATTAAGAAAATATGCTGCCTCTCTGAAGATCTGTCTTTTCATTCCACGGGATCTGTCTCAGAAACTCCATAGTGTGCCTTTTTAGCCAAAAATGTGTCTATGTATGACCTTGGTAATTCATTTGAAAAGATTTAAGTAATAGCGTCGGCGAGATGGATCTTAAAAACCTCAATTGTATTTTCTCATTCCGATTTCAAATGACATGTGGATCAAATTTAACCTCCAAAAGACAATTTGTTTCCTTTACTAATTCATCACATGCAAAAGCAAGTAACGTTTGAAGGCTTTTAGGACCGGCATGTTACCTGCTTCCTCATCAAACAGCCTCAATGAGTATGTATCGGGCAATAATTTGTTCCATCAGCATTTGCCAACTTTAAACAACCTCCCACTGATTGAGCCCTGCTCATTGCAATGAGCCTGCAGTATTGATGAGGTGAGGCAAACAGGCCTGGACAAAGCGATAAAGAGCGAAACACAAAGATTCATTTATTATTCCATTAGAGATTAATTATGAATACGGTTCCAATCAGCTTGAAAACAACACTTCTGCACACATTTCAAACTAGATCTGTAACACAGAAGGACAAAGGACCGAGAAAAAGACAGACAAAAGTTAGGTGTACCTATTGTCGAAGGACACTTGAGATCAATGTGCGTTTTACGTACCATAGTATTATATAGAAATTGAAGTTGCTTTCTGAGCATTTGCAGAAAAAAACACTTTAAAGCTCCTTTAATCTGGACCTCCACAATGGAGTTTCATTAGTGACCTTGCTCGTGCTTCCAGAGACATACGTTAAAAGCTCCACTGTCCTGTACACAACTCTGTCTGTGAGTCTCTCTCTCTTTGTAGTATCCCCACAGCAATGCAATGCTTGGGTCCAGTGGCGCAACACTCACAAAGGAAAGCAAAATGGCAATCTCTAAACCAAATCATTGTTCTGTTAATCCCGACGCAGTGAGATGGCGGGACAAAGACACGTATGAATATTCCATGATGATGATGATATTTCCCCGTCAGATACGGATTTTGAATATAACGCCTGATTTAAACAACTGAATCGTGTATCAGTGTCAATGTGTCTATTCTGAGAGAGATGCCTTTGTTATATCTGATTACACGCGCATGTACAGTACTCCCCCACATCTCATATTATGGAGAAAAAAATACGCTCATGAATGTCTGAGGAGAAAAAGAGCGACTAGGAAGAGGAAGGGTAAACGGCTTCTGTTCACTGCCTTATTATTTTGGAACCTCTCTGCATCTTGATTTAGAAATGTCGACACACAGACACACACATCACGCAAAGCCCCGGCTCCTCCTCCTTTCCAGTAATGTAATTTTGAGGCAACCGTCACCACATGAATCAATAAGTGGAAAAGTGAGGTGATATGTACGTATCAAAAGTATTTTATAGAGTTTATAAGGTACGACCCATCTGGGGCGGGGGCTAAACGCACTCACGCGCCTGTTGTTGAGGCTGTGGCTGTTGACAGTAATGTGACAGCAACACTGACGGACTGACTATGATAATGACTATAGAGGAACACACACCCACAAACACCCCCAGGTGACGGATTGCTGATTTCTGACAAGGCTGGACCGAAGAATCACCATCTCAACGTGATGATGAAAGCAAGGTGGTGAGGGATGATGGTGATGAAGGGGGGAGGTTATCGCCCCGCAGTGTCGAATGTTCGCAGACAAATACGCACACACATACATGCACAGAGGCAAGAACACACAAAACCGGCTGTTACTTACAGCATTGATTTGGGACCTGTGGGCGGGGGGGCTCTTCCAAGACACAGACATTGTTCATGCTATTTTTCCTGGTATTGGGAGGGAAGCAATTCATCTTGTATAAATACAGCAGTTGAGCCGAAGAATCTTGTGTATTTGCTGCAGTGGAATGTTGATGCAACAGTAGCTGCACCCAAGATACTGAATCATTCCTAATAACCCTCTCTTCTCATATTTATCTCGTTGTCTTACATCTCTCCCTCTCTTTCTCCTCCCTCCCCTGCCCTCTTTCATTAAAGGCTTGTGAATGAATTTGTTCCATGGTTAAGAGGGCGTACAGCCAGGACGTTTTGTAGTCATAGTTCAGTAGCACTCCTGCCCTTTGCCCCGTTGTCACGCACAGCTGTGCAAAGGTTGCTGCCATCTCTGTCACGTCCCTGCCTCTGCTTTACATTTTCTCTTCACCTTATGTATACAGAATACATTCTGTCCATTTCCCTCCTTTTTTTAGACCTACTGTAGATATCCAGTGCTTAGCTTCTGCCCACACAAGAGAACATACTTTGAGTAGGTGGAGGATTTGTATTGTGTCTCAATTCATTAGCCAGCCAGTTGAGTACGGTTTAGAAAAAAATAACAATCCATCCAAAGCACATAAAGATCCAGTCCCTGAGTGCGCATCCAGCAAAGTAAAGGGCGGGCCATTGACAGCGCTGTTTTTCTCCTTGTGTTTCCCCGCGTATCAGCTGTTGGACGGTTTTGGCCAGGTCTAGTTTGTAAACCACAGCTGACTCAGCTCCAGTCCAGCCCTGCTGGGGAAACCATCGAACTACTGGCTGCGAGCCAGGTGTTGGAACACGTGCGAGTCCTAGCCAACGTAAATTATAATCAGGATGATTGCAGTGTACCTTCAGAATGCCCTTTGTTATGTATTCAGTGTACCTGTGTAAAACCTTTACAGCACAGGCACAATGATTGCTGCATTTAGCATGTTCTTCCTAAGTATCACTAACGTCCATTAATTACAATATAAATGTTATTTTGCAGCTTTGGATGTTTATGCAATCCCTCAGCCTTTCTCCTGCGTTCGTATTCCCTGTACAGTTCAACCAGCATCCCACTTTAAGCACCTAGAGTCTTTAAGCTCACTCTCCTGATTAATGACAAACACTTTGCCCGACGCTGCTGGTAAGAGGCTCCAGATTTGTAGATCTCATGAATGTCAGATTTTGTTGCACTGATGAACACATTTTGTCTGGCCTTTCTTACTCTAGCTGCCTGTCTTCAACATCTTCAGACTGATATTCCTTTAGTCTCCCCTCCTCAAGCCCGGCCTATTCCATCCATCAATTTACTACAATTATAACTCCAAAAACTTCTGAACCCCCCCCCCTGTTGTCCTTCTCCATCTCCTGCTTTTTTCTCCATCACACAGCTCTTCGTTATACTTTTCGTACCTCTCGTCCTCTTTATTCTTCCATCACAGACTTGTCCTCTGCCTCCTTCGGAGAACAACAAACGGTTTTTGACTTGACCTGTGACACTACTATCACCCGAATCTATCCCTTCCCCCTCTTGCTTCCACCCACCACCCTCTTCTGTTGCTTCCTTCATCTCCCCCCCTATCATTTCCTGGGCCGTCGGCTCTTTTTCACCCCGATCTGGCCTTCCCCTCCTGTCCTCCTCGTCCTCTACAAACATCACAGATTCCGTGCGTGCATTTCATCATTACTCGAGCGGTTCAGTAACTAAATTGCCATATTTTCTGTCCTTGGTGATGCTACTGCAGCCTCACTCCTCTGCCCGAGACGGGACATAAAAAGAACACTGCGTCTCCGATTTTACTGGGCACAAACTATTGGGCACAGGCAAACTTACAAATACAACGGAAGACACACAGACGGGAATGCGTAGTGGCTCAGACGTTCTGTACTCCGACACGGGGGCACAAGGGCGTAAATTATTTCCATCATAAATAAGCCTCCATGAAACTGACAGCCAGCAGAGATACAAAGCCTCTAAACAACCCCTAAACAGATGACCTATAATCAATAAAGCAATATCAATGCATCATCAGTATTGCACCGCGAGGGGCTCTCAACTACCTCTCACTCTTTCATTAACTCTGACTAATGTTGACACTGTTTTTGTGTTTTTGACTATCAATCCATCCGCCCACTCACAGT